GGTAAATGAAAGGTACTATATTTTCCATAATGAAGAACTTTATGTTAAATCACTGGATTTTTAAACACAAMAACTGTGCATTTTTTGCATGTAAGGTCACTTTACAAGGCTTCAAAGATAAAGAAAGGAAAAATTCTAAATATTAAGAGAATTCAGCAAGACAGCCACTGAAGTGAAAAATGATGGAAACAGGGACAACTTGGAACTATCTGAAAAGCACGAATTCGTTTGGAGCGGTTTTTGATGCAGGTCACATTCATCACTCCCCTGTATTCAAGGAAAGCTCCCAGGTTCTCTCTCAGGGCAAGTGACAACAACACGTTAAATAATCATACATTTTGCAGAATCAATAATACCAGAACTAAGGAGGAAAAAAAAAAAAAAAGAGAGAGAGAGACTTTGGAACTCTGACAAGGAGGCAGATTTTCATTGTTTACTCAAATGTTTCATAAGAACTTTCCTTTGTCAAGTACAATTAATGTGCCATGTATCGCTAAAGAATAAAATGATTCATAAGCAGTTCGAACACAGCGAGGGCTCCATTGTTCCTGCTTGTGCTGGTAAACACGAGGCACGCCACACAATGCTCACCAAAAGCATTTCGGGGTCTCCTGCTAAATTTAAGTGTTGCTCTAAGTCTGTAGGGTAAAGCCTTTAAGGCATTATATTTTTTAAYCAATTCACATCTTTCCACTTTTGGACACCCCCACGGTACAGGGCTTCAGACACCCCAAACGAGCCGAGTTGAAGGAACTAGGCTGGACTGAGTCRTGAGACTACTGAATGGGGTAAGGAGAGGAAAATGCCCAAAGCCAGCAGAAGGGGCGCTGGGTGGAGAGCAGGRCTGAGCACGGGAGCCAAGGAAGGGCTGTGTCAATGAAGAAAGGGCAGGGTGGGTGTGCGGGCAGCCTCCTCGCCAGGGCTCAGCCCAGAGGAGCTGGCTGCAGCAGGAAAAGTCCGACTGGAAGGACAGGGGAGAGGCACTGCCTGAGACAGGGCATCCGAGATGAACATCTGACTGCACTAAATTGAGCTTATATTAACAGCAGACACTTCCAGTCCCTTACCACCTTCCACCTACCCCCTTAGCAGTCCTAAGGAGGCAAGAAATCCTTGTGCACACATCTACTCCTGGCAAGCATCTATTATCACTATGTACGATATTGGATTTTAAAAWTGTATTATTGTCTTCTTTCTGTGGAAGCAATCCAAGCCCAAGCTTCCTTGGACTACCTACTTCAAATATTTGGAAGATRTTTAACTGAAAAACTCCCAAATTGTGACCCTCTCCTTTCCCATGGGTTATATACATGTTGGCACCATTGTTTCCCAGTAAACCCAYGGCTCCTTCGGAGGAAAGTATCCACTTAAGGGTTAAACACGYAAACCAGAGGTTCTGTCTAATTCTCTTTAATCTCTAGCCGATTAAAGATGACTGGGTATTGTTCTCATGTTCCTATTCCCAGAAATGGGGGGGACTATAGGGTCCCAAAGCATATTATCCAAACTATCATACAACATGCACTTTTTTTTGTTTGTTTTAGAAACTCCGACTGAATAGAAATGTGTAGTTTTGGTATGATCCCAATATCCATAAAACCTTTCTACATTAAACAGAATCATTATGGTGAAGTCCTCCAGCACCTGCTTGAAAGGGTTAAAAGAGAATTTCTGCTAGAGAGCTAAGAGAAGGGAGCTAAGCAGTCGGTTTCTTTTTCAGCAGAAACATGAACAAAGACATGCACAGTGGTAAACAGCACAGAGGAGCTCCCATTAGGATGCTTATATTGTTTTTTACCACAGAAGAACAATGCAATACTTAATGACTAATAAAAAGTRTGGGGAGGAGGGGCGGAAAATAGCCAGATTTTAGTCAGCGTAGATCATAGAGAACAGTAGGCTACCAGATCCAAAACCAGACCAAAAAAACCCAAACACCTGCACCTTTCAAAGTCTATGGCACACCTCTCTAGAAGGACCTCATCTGGTTGCAGAATACATTGGAATGAGACRTTCTAGTTTCATTGCAAGTCTCAAGCTATTCAGTACTTGGAGCACAAAACTTAACTCATGATTTAAAAAACAAAACAAAACAAACTTAGAAAAAGTGACCATACAACTCTGGTCACTACATAAGAAATACATTTGTAGTCAGATCCAATATGGCAAAGATGTGCAATACTGGTTTTTCAGCTGATAAAGCAATGGGTAAACGATTGGGAAAAGAGTTCAGTGACAGAGCCTAGGAAAAGCTCTTAATCATACCATTTCCTAAGGATAAAGATCCATGGGTTAGATTTTTTTATACAGTGGTTTCACACAGGCAAGCTCGTCTTTTATACTGTCTGCTGACCAGACAGTGCCTAGTAACTATTTCCAACCCCTTTAACTCATACCTATAGCCATTCCTAAAGCTTAACTTACAAAACAAAACRAAAAACACAGTAACCTTTCCTTGCTACTGCTGCTCTGCCAAGTTCGGTAGCCAGTGGCTCCAAGTACTCCCTTGTGTCAAAGCACAACTAAGGTGATGTGGGGTATTAGGGCAGAAAGCACAGGAAACAATAAGGCAGAATGGAGATGTCAAATAGAGCTTATCAATATTCTTTTCCACCTCGACCAGTCTAAACCCCAAACCCAGCATATTCTTTATGGGAGACAGCAAAAAAAMCCACAGGAGCGTTAATCTTTTTCTCATTAACAAAACTCATGAGCGCACCGCTTCTCYGCTCAGAAAACGGTGACAGCTTCAAACGCAGCGGTACCTGACATGCTTGCTCGTGTCTCGACAAAGCTGATGACATTCTGTACAAAAGCATGCTTCATTTCTGTGACCTTAAATACTCCAGAGGCTCACGTGCATTCATTGTTCCCAATTGTTCTAGCTGTTCCACCATTCTAGTCACCACCTTGCAAATCACAACTAAAGSAAAATTGCCAAATTATAGAATTGGTGCATTAAGACTTGAACATGAGTGTTCTTTAGGATGGAAGGTAAAAAACTGTTCTACTTCTTCCAAAAGCARAAGCCATTCAGGGGAAGCTGTTGAGAAAGACTACATGTGATTATGAGCTATTAAAAAAAGTTGACTATCATTCATAATATATTTCTATAGAAGCACAGCAATCTTACGTTTGTTTTGGGGAAAATGTGTTTTAGAAGCTATAAAGATGTAGACCAAGAGTAGTATGAAATCCTAGCTCTTGCCTATGGCTTTCAATAGTCTTTACAGAATAAAACATTTGTTTTTGATTTGAGGAGCAGTTTGTGTTCAACAATGTAAAACTGGTTTAAAATTTCAATGGTTGTTTTCTTCATTGTTCAAATATTCTTCTTAAATAGATTTATAATATGTGCAACTATGCCAACYACCAGGTCCCCTATTAGCCCTTCAGTCAGGCAGCTCTTTACTTGCATGGGCAGACAAAAAGTTACAGATCATCATCCAATATCCACAGAGAAATGCTTACACCTCAAAACAACTGTTCACCCGGACAAAATATGATCTAGCAGTTACTCAACTTTTATCAATTTTTGCTTTTATCTTCTGTAAGTTATTAGCAAGGGTGCAAAGACTTATACAACAGGAACCTTCGATCATGAAAGCAATATGCATTACAAACTAACATCACATTGTTCAGATGCATTGCAGTTCTTCCTCACATGATAAGCAAAAAGCATTACACTATGTACACCACTAAAATAAGCTCCACCGTACACATCGAGAAACGTTTTCTGAGTTCAAGGACCGCTTAAATTCCCAGCTTAAACAAATGAGCATTTTGTAGAGTGCCGAGTATAGCCAGCACAAGAAAGTGAGGCCGCATACCTTTACAAATGATACTGAAAAACACAGGAAAACAAAACACTATCGATGCCAAGTAGCAGATGTAAAAATACCACATTCACCGGGACAAAACAAAAATACCCCAAGTGACCACAGCATCACTGGTGGCTCCACACTGAAAGACCTGTCTCTGAAGGGGAAATATATACAGTGGTAAGGCCCGGGACGTGAAAGGCTACGCAACGCTGARGTAATGCTCCTTGCTGGTGAGGGAAAGGGTTGGAGCACGGCATTCTTCCGGCATCCCCTGTTGTTGACCTGCTCAGCAGTGTCGGCTCCAGACTGCCAGGGAGTGAAAGTTAAGTGAGTAATAGCAAGATGAGGAAGGCAGCTCCAGACACAGTGCAACTTAAGCCAAACAAGATTCCCTTTCACAAGGGCTTTCCCAGTCTTCACCTCGAGGGCGATATAAAYGGCGTGTGCCTTTAGCTCTGTGGCTCAATTAACATGCCCTGAAAAGTGGCAATCTGCACCTCACAGCTGAGGCTCTGTTTTCTACCCTTTGCAGCTCAAGCTAATTGCGTAGAGAGCACTTAAAGACCCTTCTGTCAACTGATGGGCAAAGACCATTTCATGTTCATCTGTGAACATGAAGAAAGGAGTAATAGTAGATCTGCAAAATATGAGATATGCTTTAGGAACTTAACCAGGAACACCATAAAGAAAGGGGGAATGTTCAGATGTGGGACACTAAACAAACTCTTCAGGCAGCAATTCCCTACTGGCCAATTCTCAAACACATYGACATGACCACTGTAACGAAAGCCCACATAGGGATAGATGTGGGCCCAGTGACAGCCCACATAGGGATAGAAAGACTAAAACTAATTAATGATTGCTAAAATATGAAGACATCTAAAACTCATATGCCTGTGATGAAGGCTAAAATATTTAGTACCTACTAGTGTCACGCCTGAAGCAGCAAAGCTTAAGCTACACTCAAACCTCTGCCACACGTTTAGAGGTAGCTTGGGAAAAAASAGTTGGAGGCACACCGACTGAAAGGTTATCTTGAATTAATGGACAGACTTAATTTTCACCTCACTTCTGCTGTGCACCGATATCTTTAAAATGGTCAATTAATACAGCAAATACATCGAACGGCTTCATTATGAAGGAAACCTGTAAATAATCATCACGTAAAAAATTTACCTCAGCTCGCTGCGTGCGGGGCAAGGCAGACGATTTTTCAATGGCATACACATCCACCAGGTAGAGACGCGCGCCCTGCTCCCTGTCCAGAATGGCAGCAGTCTGTATCACGCCGTTGTGGCGCCCAATGGTAAAGAGGCGTCCCAGACTTTTATCTTCACAGCGGACAGACACTATGTAATATTCCACCTGGGCCTCCGAACCCCGTGGGCTGGCTGCTTCTATGGATATGACGTTTGTCCCGATAGGCTCACCTTCCTTTAAGATAGTTATGTATTTTGGCTGAGTGAAGATGGGCCCGTCAACGCCCTGCAGAATTATAGTCATCTCAGTGGTAGATTTTCTTCGTTCGGGGCCAAGATCCGTAGCAGAAACTATGAGATTGTAGATGAGCTGCGAAGGCACCAAAGCTGATGCTACTCTTAGATCTCCACTGTAACGATCCACAATGAAGGTCTCTGTATCTCCATTGATTATTTCATATTCCACTTCCCCGTTGGCGCCCTCGTCAGGATCTGCGGCAATGATTGTAGTTAGGATCGAACCGATGACAACTGAAGGGTCGGCAGCAAGAGCGTTTTGCGATACAAACACMGGAACATTGTCATTTTGATCCGTCACCAAAATGGTCACGTTCTTCATAGCAAATCGCCTGGATTCCACAGGAACAGCCTGATCAGTGGCTTTGACTGTTAATTCAAAGAGATTAGCAAACTCGCGATCTATTTCAGCATTGGTAAATATTGTCCCTCTGACTCCATCTATACGGAAATGGTTACCTCTTGGCATCTGTTGAATGATGGCATACGTCAACTGCCCATTAATATCTGCATCTGGATCGTGAGCAGTTACGGAAATGACAGAACTACCAACAGGAATGTTCTCAACAATAGATTTAAAAATGTCCCCCGGAGGAAAATTAGGAGGATTGTCATTAAAATCTCTAACATGTATTACTACTGACATTGTAGATGACCGTGGTGGCCTTCCCTGGTCTTTCGCAGTTATGTTTAGCTTATATAAAGACTGCGTCTCAAAGTCCAACTTCTTTGCAAGAAAAATACTACCAGTGTTGGGACTGATGCTAAAGGTGCCATGGTTGTTTGTCCCAGTAATACTATAATGGAGGTCAGCATTGTCACCCGAATCCGAATCAGTGGCAGTCACAGAGGACACAAGTTCACCAACTCTCATATTTTCCAAGACATCCACTAACAAAGTGGCTTTAGGGAAGGAAGGACTGTTGTCATTCTCATCTAAAACATCAATGCTCAGGGTGCAAGTAGAGCTTAGGGGAACTGCTCCAGAGTCTACCGCTTGGATGACAAGCGAATAAGATGCAGTAGCTTCATGATCCAGTTTGCCTATCAATGTCACCTGGCCTGTGCTACTATCTATTGTGAACTGCTTTTCTTCATTTCCCTTGATTACAGAATAGTGAATCAACCCATTATCCCCTTCATCAACATCGGAGGCAGAAACTCTCAGGACCTGCGTCAGATTTGCTGCCAGTTCTGATATAGTAGCTTGGTAGAGATCTTTTAGAAATTTGGGGGCGTTATCATTGATATCTTTCATATAGATCTGCACAGTTGCCTGATCCTTTAGAGGCTTTGGCAACCCTTGATCTGTTGCTATCACCGTAAGACTAAACACGGCAGCTCCTCGTTGTCTCATAAGAGCTTCCCTGTCAAATTGGTGAGTGCTTGTTATTTCACCAGTTATTGTGTTCAGCTCAAAATCTGGTTGCATATGCTCAAATGAATACCTGACTTCACCGTTCAGCCCAAAGTCTTTATCTACAGCATTTATTTTACCTACATACGATCCACCTCTCTGCTCCTCTTCAAAATAAAATACATAGTTGGTGCTGTTAAACAGTGGCCTATTATCATTTACATCCTCCAGAATTACAGTAACATTCACAGTAGCATTGAGAGGTTCTACTGCTCTGTCAGAAGCAACAACCAGCAAAACATATCTTTCTTGAAGCTCACGGTCCAGTTCACTCTTTATATACAGCTGACCATCTGGGAATATGCCAAAGGCATCCCCAGTATTTCCTTCAATTATACTGTATGCTATTTCCCCATTTACACCCGAATCTTTGTCAGAAGCCTGTACTTTAAAGAACCGGGAATTCACAGCCTCTGACTCCAAAATAGTCACTTCATAGGAAAGCTGGTCAAACACAGGTGGATTATCATTTACATCGTGAACAGACACAGTCAAGATGAAGTTGGAGGACAACTGTGGAACTCCCATATCAGAGGCCAGAATCTCTACCTGGTAAGACCCAGCRTTTATGTCAAGTGGCCCTGTTAAGCTTATGGCACCTGTTTTCTCATTGACTGAGAACAAGCCCTTTGGGTTTTGCTTAAGGCTGTAAAGGACCACTCCATTAACACCTTCATCAGGATCAAGAGCTTTGGCCTGGAAAATGGTGTGCCCAGCTTTCCAGTTTTCAACCACGTTTACACTCTCCACCGAATGAACGAAGTGGGGGGAGTTGTCATTTAAGTCTTTGACAGTTATATTGACCACAGTGTCTCCAGTTATTGCTCCACCACTAGCCACCACTTTCAGCTGGTAAAATGCTTGCTCTTCCCTATCAAGAATACTAGCAGTAGTGATCTGGCCGGTCGCTCTGTTGATGGCAAACATGCCCCTTTGGTCACCTCTTGTGATAAGGTAACTGATGTTGGTGTTGAGGTCCATGGTGGAAGCAAAAACAGTACCCACGTGATAACCGACGGCAACATTTTCAAAGACAACAAAACTGTACATGCCCTGGCTGAAAACAGGCGGGTTGTCCTGTGTGTCCAGGACAGTGATGGTGACAATAGCTTGGTTCTGTGACTGGAGATGGCCGCCATCAGTGGCCACTACCTGCAACTGGTAAGCAGTTTTCTCCTCTCTGTCGAGGGCAATTTTTGTTGTGATGACCCCTGTCTGGCCATGGACCTGAAACCTGGAGGTGTCTCCAGCCGAGATGCTGTACTTGACTGTCCCGTTGGGTCCCAAGTCAGGGTCAGTGGCAGACACTGTGGYCACATAAGTTCCAGCTGGCTCGTTTTCCTGGATGTGGGCAAAATACTGAACTGGGTAAAACACGGGGCTATTGTCATTCACGTCCAGCAGAGTCACATTAACCCGAGCTACTGAAGAAAGAGGAGGAGAACCTAGATCAGTGGCCAGGATCTGCAGGGAGAAATGAGCCTGCTCCTCCCTGTCCAGCTGCGAGACAGTGCTGAGCTTGCCTGTCACAGGATCCAAGCGAAAGACCCGTCGAGGAGCCACCATGGAAGAGCCGCTCGCGGCCACCGCTGGCTCGGCTTCCTGCAGGGAGAAGCGAACAGTCCCGTTRTCCCCCAGATCCCCATCGGTAGCACTCAGGATAAGCAACTCTGTTCCCAAGGGAGAGTTTTCAGACAGGGATATGTGGTAGCCATCCGGTTGGCTAAAAGAAGGTTTGTTATCGTTGATGTCCAGGATGGTGACCACGAGCTGAGCATAGGAGACCTTGGGCTGCACTCCCTGGTCACGGGCGCTGATGTTGAGCACCACCTCGGAGGCCGTCTCGCGGTCCAGCGCGCGGGCCAAGGAGGCCCCCGCCGCGGCGCTGCCCTCKCCGCCGGCCGTCGTCACCAGCCCGCTGTGCTCGCTGATGCGGAACCAGCCCAGCTCGTTGCCCGAAACGATGCTGTATTTCAGGTTGGCGTTGAGGCCGGAGTCGCGGTCCGTAGCGCTCAGGCCCCGCACGTAGCTGCCCAGGGGCACCTCCTCRCTGATGTTCACCCTGTACACGGACTGCCCGAAGACCGGCGGGTGGTCRTTAATGTCATTCACAAAAATCACCAGGCTGGCCACCGAGGAGCGGCTCACAGGAGCTGCCGCTGCCCCCTCGGGGGCAAGGGGAGATGTGGGGGAGCCCGCGGGTGGTGGCGGCGCCCCRTAGTTGTCGGCCACCGCCACGGTCAGGTTGTAGGCGGGGATGCGCTCCCGGTCCAACGCGGCTGCTACCTTTATGAGGCTCAGGTTGGGTACCTTACTGCTGTGCACCTCGAAGTGCCGCTGCTCGTTGCCCGCCAGGATGGACACGGAGATGTTGCCGTTGGCTGCGGGGGAGTCGGCGTCGCTCACTGTCAGCAAGGCCACCACGGTACCGGGCGCCGCGTTCTCGTCCACGGAGGCGAAGCGCGAGGTGGCAGGGAAGTAGCGGAACTTGACGCGGGGCTCGTTGTCGTTGACGTCGAGCAGGCGGATGACGGCCTCGGCGCGGCCGCTCAGCGCCGGCACGCCGCGGTCCGTGGCCTGCACCGTGAGCGAGTACTGCTGCCGCGCCTCGTAGTCCAGCGGCTCCCGGATGCGGATCACGCCGCTCTCGGGGTCCACCTCGAATGGGAGGCTCGCAGCGCCCTCCCCGCCGCCGCCGTCGCCTCCCTCCAGGCGGTAGCGGATGTCGGCGTTGGTGCCCTCGTCAGCGTCCGTGGCCGTCACCTGGAGCACGCTGGCGCCCACGGGCGCATCCTCGGGCACGCGYGCCTGGTAGAGCGTCTGGCTGAACACGGGCGGGTTGTCGTTGATGTCCTGCACGGTGACGTTGACCTGCAGGTAGCCCCGCCGCCGCGGCTCCCCCTTATCCTCCACCTGCACCAGGAGCTGGTAGGCGGCGGTGGCCTCGCGGTCCAGGCCRCCGCGGGACACCAGGTGCAGGAAGGCTCCCTCGCCGCTGGGGTTGAGCGTGATGTTGAGGCGGAAGCGGCCCTCCTCGTTGCCGGCCACGATGCGGTAGGAGCTGTGGTCCACGCCGTTGGTGCCGCTGTCGGCGTCGGTGGCCGTGTCGAGGATGAGCTGGCGCCCGCTGCCCGTGTCCTCCTTGAACGTGACCACGATGGAGGGGTCGGGGAAGACGGGCGCGTTGTCGTTGAGGTCGAGCACGAGCACACGCACCTCGCTGGGGTACGTGGGCTTGCTGGAGAGCACGACGAGGTCCACGACGTCGCTGGCGAGGCTCTCGCGGTCGATGGCGGCGCGCGTGTGCAGGGCGCCCGAGGTGCCGTTGATGGCGAAGAGCGCGTGCCGCTCGCTCAGGCGGTACGTGAAGCCGGCGCGCGTGGCCACGGTGCCCACCCACGTGCCGGCCGGCTGCTCCTCGAGCACGCGGAACACCTGCCGCGGCTCCGCGCCGCCGCGCGCCGCCG